AGAGACGGAGGGTGTATGATATACGTGTCGAATGTTTCCTGACTCTCCTACTTCGACATAATTAGTATCATAGGTCTCTCAGCTGGGGAGGCAGACACAGCACTTTAGCTGTTGGTGTGGGTTTATTTTCTTTCTATTGATGTGCGCCCACAACTCTACTCTGGAGCAAAATGTGCCTCTTAGGTGAGAGTTTTAGCAGTGATTTAAATATGGGTTAAGTGTTAACTAACAAATGATTAAGAGCTGAGAGTAACTAACAGGAGCATTGACTAAAACGAAGTGTAATTTGTGCCTTGGATATTTTTACTTGATTATAATAAAAAAAGATGTGTATGTGAGTCCATTTGTGTGTGCATGTTGGCATGCGTGTTTGCGTGTGTGTATGTGTGCTCACATGTGCATTCTTGCATAATATGAGCAGGCATACGTGTGTCTGTATGGCTGTTAGAGCAAAAGAAATAACACTCACACACAAACACACACACTCACACACACACATACACACACACACACACACACATACACACACACACACACACACATATATATATATATATATATATATATATATATATATATATATATAGAGAGAGAGAGAGAGAGAGAGAGAGAGACAGACAGACAGACAGACAGACAGACAGACAGACAGACAGACAGACAGACAGACAGACAGACAGACAGACAGACAGACAGACAGACAGACAGACAGACAGACAGACAGACAGAGGACGAATGCTTGAAATCACCGATATTAGAATGTTATAATTTGTCTTGTTTGAGTTCTGTATTGTACCACATTATCCTTCAACCCCAACTTTCCCTAGCCACTGGTCAGTCAGATAGGGACTTTGATATCAAATGACACCAGCCACGAAGGAGAAATATTTTATTTCATATGAAAATAAAAATCACGGTGTATAATTGCGATGGTACTGGTTTATATCGAGAGTTTACTCTGACAATAAAATCGATAGATCTCTGTGTTAAAGGTCATGTGGCAGAATGAGAGGAAAAGAATCGTATAAAAACAACACCTGTTGCAGCGCTCCGACCACTTCTGTACCTTAAAAATGAACTAGAGATCTATCTACACTCTTCAAAATCGAAAACATTTTTAAAGATCACTTTGGTGATCACATCACTCTCAACAAACCTAGGTTATTTAAAGAGTTTAAAGGGCTCTACCTTCCTATTAACGCCTGTAATGTGGTAGAAATATCAAGTTAAGTTTGAGTGGTACTATATAAAAAAAAACCTCACAGGTTTTAGAACTTCATATGTGTGATTGAACGAGGGTCAAGACTGGTACAGAATCAGACCAAGTCAGTAAAAAATGAGCTTGCAAACTTGTTGCGCAGTCTAGAGACAAGATTAAATGAAAGGAAATAAAATGGAATAATCTATTAATTCTCCATTGGAAGAAAAAATGCCATAATAGTGCCTTCAATAGAAGGTGTGAAAATCATAAGCTGCTTTTAAATGTGAAAAAAACAAAAGAACTTGTCGTTGATTTTAGAATAAAGAAACTACCCCTGCAGCCACTCAAAATGAAGTGTGAAAACATCGAGCAAGTGTCAGACTATAAGTATTTGGGTGTTACAATAGACAACAAACTCAACTGGCGTGTCCACACTTCTCTCCTGCATAAAAAAGTGAACAAAAGACTATTTTTTCTTAGAAAGCTAAAGTATTTTGAAGTTGATAAAACATTGATGTCCATGTTCTACCATTCAACCATAGAAAGTATTATCGATTTTTGTATAACAGCATGGGCCGGGAACACAAGACAACAAGATAAAGAAAAATTAAATCGACTAATACGGAAAGCATGTAAAATTTCAACATCTTCATTTCCCTACTTGGATGAATTGTACATAACAGCTTGCACTAAGAAAATTAATTCCATCTTTTTAGACAACAAACATCCCTTGTTCCCTCAAAAAAAAAGATCAGTCAGAAGTAAAAGACCCATGCTTCTGATCTGTAACAAAGAAAGATACAGAAGGTCATTTTTACCATCATCTATCAAAATGCTTCCATCTTAACCATCTTGTTTAGTGTACTTACGACCTTAGAGCACGCATCAAAATAACATTGAGTGTGTATCTAGCTTACGATTATCATTGTTTATGTTGCTGCTCATTTATATTATGTATGTGATTGTAAGCCTACTTGTGTGTGCATGTGCGTGCACGTGTGTACGTGTGTGTGTGTGTGTTTGTGTGTGTGTGTGTGTGTGTGTGTGTGTGTGTGTGTGTGTGTGTGTGCGTGCGTGTGTGTGTGTACTCGTGGTGGAACACCAAACCAATGTGCCAGGATCTGGACAATAAAGATGTATCTTATCTTTATCTTATCTTAATAGAGAGAAACAAAATATAAACTCATAACAGAAAATTTGCACTAACACCTATGTGATGCTCACTAGACTCTACATGGTGAAATGAATGGCATTGAGAAAAGTGAGTCAGATCAAGTGGAACGTGATTCAAAACAATAGCAACAATAATATCGGTGGCCTTCCTCTTGCAGCTCCATCGTTATTCACTTCACAAAAGGGGCGTTACTCAGGTTCCAAAGTGCGGTCTGATCAAGGCTGTTGTTTTGTGATACCGAATTATCGTATGCCAATCATTAGAGGTGTGTCATATCTAGAACAGGCCAACTTCCAGGCAAATTAACCCGATTCTATTTAGATAGAAATGTTCTTTCGGATACAATCTCTCTTGCAGACACGATTAGTTGAAGATAAATAATAATAATATGAAAGTAAGACTTAAAAGCTCGGGCGAACAGTGTTTAGGTTTTGTAGTTGTTGTTGTTGTTGTTGTTGTTGTTGTTGTTGTTGTTGTTGTTGTTGTTGTTGTTCCTGCTTTTTCAATGTAAGGATGAGTCAATAATGCTGGTTTCATTGATTTCATTATTTTGACAAGCTCCTGATTTCAACACAATTCATCAAATTTAGTATTTAGATAAACGTGCTCCTTCGTGATCAATCCGGCCCCACAAACTGGAGTAATTGAAAAAAGAGAATTGAATCGCCATTAAGTAAAACTTAAAAACCCGGGCAAATGGTACGATTTTTGTGTTCGATTTGATGGTGAGTCATACAGTAATGATGTTTTCTTTATTACCCACAATGGGCTTTGAAATGGACTGCGTAGGGAAGAGCGGGGAGAACTGGTTTGACTTGCCACATTTTTTATGCTTATTCTCTTTCATGTGAAATACTCAGACCTGATGAGTTAGACATGAAAAATACGCAAAGAACATTAGCACATGTAAAGCATATTATGGAGTTATTTTTAATAGAAACTGAATTACACATGGTTTTAAGCGTGACAAGTTTACTAGTTGAACTGGGACAGTGGCGAGTAAATTGGAATAGGGATTGGGGTGAAGTGGAGCATGGGCAGATACAGTGGGACATAGACAGATAAAGTGAGAGGGAAGTTAAAGGCTACTTCTGCTAAAACCTCACAGCCATACACACACAAAAATGTTGACTTCCTTATGAAAAATACATTAAAAATACCACAAGCAACCCCCCCCCCCCCAAAAAAAAAGGAGGAGAGAACATGTTTTCTACTTGGTAGGCCTTACCACAAGAAAAAAAACCCTGGAATATTCAATCAATGTTTTGCCAGTTTTTTTTTTAAATCCCACCTCTGAAACTGGAAGGATAAAAATAAAAAAAACACCAAAAAAAACAAAAAGGAAAACAAAAACATCATCAAAGTGAGTTATGATATTATCCTAATAGGGCCTTGTTAAAAGGTTGTGAACTGGAATAGGGGGCAAAACAAACTATCACTTTGGGGAAAATAGCTGAGTTGGATACAAAGCCAAGGGATCTTAAAGCAGCTCCATCATCATCGTAAAAAAATATGCCCCTTGAATTGTTTTGCTAGGGATAACGGACACAGGTGGCAGAGAAGATCCATTTGCAGAAACCAAGCAACAAATCAATGGTGACAAATCCCCCACGCTCCTGTTATGTGATCTGACCAACCTGTTTCTGACCTTTCGATACGATTACCTTTGGGCTAGGGGGGGGGGGGGCATTGCACTGTTATGCATCCAGACTCATCTAGGTTGTACACTGCGAACACGGATGACTTGGTGTCTCTGCCAGAATTTGAAAAAACCTTAACCACGTTCTCTCTGTTGAAGGCCGACGCTCTCGCGAGAGAAATCGCCTTTGGTGTGTGCAGTGGCAAATCCAGTGGTCTTTGCGAAAATAATGGAATAGCTATTTCTTCACAAGTCTCCTGGTTGTCATTCCAAGACTATGGAACTTCAACACTGGTCTGTATTGCCATTTCGTAAGCTAACAAACGAGTCTAGTTTGTTGTGAGCTCATAAACCATGTTTGAAAATGTTTTAGCCTTTTGGCAAGTGTTCTTTCCTGTGCTTTAGAGAAAACGTTTTTGTATTGGTAATTCAAATGAAACCTTGCACCAGCCTGCTATTTCTCTTTGTGTACACACAGACCAAGTGTAGATTCTGACGTTCCGACGTCTACGACTGCTTCCTAGACGGTCTTACAACTCTTGACAGCTTTCTTCCTCCTTTTTTGGGACATCATGTTGGGTTGATCCTTTTTTTTAGTTTGTAAATGAAATGAGAAAAAACGTTGGTATTAGAAAGAAATATACAACTACATAGCAAGTATATTGCTTGCTGCATGCCAATACGCGAAAACAAATTAATGTTGTATTATTTTATATATCAACCATATCAACATATTCAACGCAGAGAGACAAAACTTGACCTTTAAAAAAGCTATACAAAAAAAAGCGGTTTTTGGAGCTTGAAAACAGAAACAGGGAGTTAAAGGACAATAACTGCAATCAAGGTTTATATTGAAGTTAGTAATATTCATTACGGTTGAGTAAATTATGGTACACCAAACCACATGTTTTGAGCCTTGTTCCGCTTAACCTTCGTCCCCGTTCTCCCTCTCTTCCTTTCTAAAACCAACCACCTTGATTCATCCCCAGGAGGATGGCTTGCAGCTCCCAGGAGGAGCACGATGACCAGGCCGCACTGCTAGAGCCTGACCGGAAGCGCCCAATGACGTCACGCTACCTGGATATCACTCTGATTCCAGACAGACCACCGGAACCCAGAGCCATGTTTTCCAAGAAACTGGGAGCTCGGATAGAACTCAGGAAGCAGTTGTTACTGGTGAGAGTTTACGCGCCTGTGGTTGTGAGTCTGTAGGGACCTTTGTTTGTTAGCGGGGGGTCATTGTGTGCCAGGATGTTTGGGGTGTGTGTGTGTGTGTGTGTGTGTGTGTGTGTGTGTGTGTGTGTGTGTGTGTGTGTGTGTGTGTGTGTGTGTGTGTGTTTGTGTTTACGGGTTAGAGGTGGATCTGTTATTAAGGTATTGTTCTGTTATATTATGTGCTGTTAAAAAATTAATAAATTACATTTTTATTGATCCCAGAAGAGCAATTTGGTTTACTATGGCAAACATACATACACATACATACACAAATACATAATTATAAATGCATATATAAATACACACGCACATATTACACCAGTACAGAACAATTTCACAACCGCCCATTGCTGGTGACTACAGCACCGCACCCTGGACAATAAGGGCGAGAATACAGGTTCCGAACCAGTTTTTCACAGAAATTGGTGCGTTTTGTTTGTGTGTGCGTCATTGTGTACGCGTGTTTACTTATGTCTGACTGTGTCTGGGTTAATCTGTCTATGTAAGTGTGTTGTGTGTGAGCGTGTATATACCGTACATGTGTGCGTGTGTTTGCGTGCGCGTGAATGAATGCGTGTATGAGCATTAAACGTGATGTTGAGTATATTTGTATCGATTGCATTATTTGCATCTATTGATCGTACGTCTCTTTATTCATTGTACTTTAATGGATCATGTATTTAGCTATTCTGTTAGGTACTTGTAATGTAATCGTTCTCTTCTCGTCTTGTGTGCAAAAAAAAATTAAATTAAATGATAAAAACAATGTTCTATTACCTTGTAGGGATAAAGTGCGTAGAGCTCTGGTTAACACTGCATTGATGCTTGGTAGAACCAGCTTGATTCATAATGTGACTCTTACAGACGTACACACGCACACATATGTACCTACCCCCCCCCTCTCTCTCACACACACACACACACATGCACATACATACAAACACACATATGCATACATATATAAAAACCCCCCCACACACACACAAATACACACGGACCATAAACACAGAATTGGTTACCGGATACCTACAATGCGCGTGAGAGGACTCGAGAGCCCAGGGAGCCCGTAACTCTTGCAGCAGATGGTAAGGGGCTGAAAAGTAAAAATGTCTAATCTAGATCGAAGGAATGCAGGAGCCTTGTAGCTTTGACAAAGTAAAAGAAAAATGGAGAAGAAAGAAAACTGTTACGCTTCCCCTTAAGTTATGTAGTCTCCAGTAGCTTCCAATTAGACCCCCCCTTCTCCCCCCCCCCCCCCCCCCCACACACACACACATGAAAAGAAAACGATAACAATAACAATAACAAAATAAAACAATACAGTAACATTCTATACAGCTTATTCTTCAAGATGTCTATGTCCCGTCCCAAACTTAAATGTAATAATCTTTAGATTTTAGATAACGCAGTATAGGGCACAGCTCCAAGTATAGCTTAGCGCAATATTCTAGATCTCACAGCCTTGACAAAAGCGAGATTTACCACATTTGGTGACAGTGAGATTTACCACATTTGGTGACAATGAGTTTTACCACATTTGGACGTTTGGGAAGAAAAAAGTCCGACAACATCTGTTTGGTTACAATGAGATAGTAGTTGTGGCTTCGGGTTTGTTAGTTGTTGTTTTTTTTGGTGTTTTTTTTACAAAATGTTCAATCATAATTATTAATTAGTTGAATGGTACACAATGTGTCGTTTCAGATCTGGAACCGAAAAAGAAGTCCACATATATCTATGTCTTCTACGGCCGCTTCAGTTAGATGCGATGATTCTTGTGGGCTTTTACGTCAGAGAATTCCGTAGGCCTGAATAACACGATGCCGCTTCAAACAGTTAAATGCTGTTTCGCAGTAAAAGACGGGGAAAGATCGGGTTACTGTTTACACTGGCTAGATGAGAGAGAATTGCAAATGAAGGACAGAAATTTGCTTAACTCCGCTAGGCTACCATCCACAATGTGATTTACATACGTGTCCAAATAAACGAGCTCGTTCCGATGTTATTTTCCTGTATCGTTCTTCTCTTTACATAAGTATTTGAAAGAGCATAATATTCAGACTTCATAGTTTCTATTAGAATTTATATTGTACGATCGTTATAATATTCAATAGGGATAAGTTGTTGTTTTGAAAAGATGTAGGCTGCCAATTACGGGTGTGTTCTGTCGGCACATGGGTATATAATACTGTACATCGGTTGTTGTTGTTGTTATTGTTGTTGTTGTTGTTGCTGTTGTTGTTGTTGTTGTTTGTTGTTGTTGTTGTTGTTTGTTGTTGTTGTTGTTATTGTTGTTGTTGTTGTTTTTGTGTGTTTTGTCCATTTCATTTTAAGCGAATGTTTTGAATGCGCAATTTGACTCAATTTGAGTCCCCCAGTTTCATGTGTTCCAGTGAAGTAGCAACCCTTTTAACATTTGGTAAACGACTTGAATTCACGAATTTCTTTATAAATCGCCAAGATCACGAACTTAAGTCGCGTGTGAAAAAGCCCAAACAAAACAAAACAGAACAAAACAAAAATATAAAATTAAAAGCAATAACGGGAAACTTTGGCTCTGCCGGTCAAAAGTAACGCTAATTTACATGTTTAAAGATCAAAATAATATACCTAGGAATGAGGCAGCTGTTAATGCTTCCGAACTATCTGCCCTTCATTACTGGAGCAGATCTGGTTAAACTGGATTCATCAACAAAGTTCTAGTTTTTTTCAGCTATGGTGTTCAACGTAGGCTACAGCGTAACCTTTGCCAAGCATAAACCCGATACAAGGCGTTAACTCATACTCATATACTGAGAGGACTTTTATACCTGGATAAAAGTTGGGGGGTGGGGTGGGGATTGGGGGTCCAGGTCGTAGATTATCACCAAATGCAAACAAATTATGGTTTTGAATGATACCAACAGAACAGAGCTAAGTGAAATGGTTTATAAATCAGAAAATGTACACATGTGACGTCAAACATAAATCTATTCACAAATTGGTCCCAACACGACTTTTGAGGAACTCTGTAATGTCTTTTAAAAGCTACCAACAGTTTAAGACAAAATTTAGCTGGGGAAATTGGTCCTCTATTTTAAGTTGTGTGTACTCTCCCCTAATATTGCATTTTAAAGTTCTATCCCCCAATGACTTTTCGTGTGAAAGAGAAAACATACCAACATTATAACAATTTCAAATAGTTTTTGAGTAATGTTTAGATCTGTTACCGATTGTCAGTGAAAGGATTCACCAATAAGAAGTCGATAAGATATTTTAAATTTTAGAGGAAATATTCTTTGTTTCAGA